GTACGCCACTGATTAAATTGTTCTCGGGTTTGAGGATTTTTCACTTCATGGCTCGTTAAACCTAGAAACTTCTTATCATTAGAAGTACCATCATCTCTCATTGCATTCCAAGCTTGGGTTGCTAATGATTCGGGTCTATTCTTATAATTTCGATAAGCTATTTGTATAATTCTTGCTTTTCCAAAATTAGTCTTTGGTTTATTGCATTCGTGATCCCAATGTTCCTGCATCAGGTCTTTAGATTCGAGACAATCAACATACCTCTGTCTAGTAAAATGGAATATTTTTTTAGGATTCACATTATCGATTTTTATTAATTTCCAGCAATCGAAACAAATAGCCATATGACTTTTGTAGATTCTTGGTCTGTAATAATCGAAATTAACAAATTTACCTTTACCATAAGATGCGAACAAACATAGTCGATGATATACACTAAATTTTCCAGCATTCAACAAATTCTGCAAAGGAATTCTAACTCGCATTGCCCATTGCACTGGAGTCATATCCTGCTTTATAATAGAGAGGTTATCAAATAATTTTTCATTATCAAAGAGTTCGTCATATCGTTTTCCATCAATATGTATATAATTCCCAATATATGAAACGGCATACTTGAGATCAAAACCAGGGCGATTATTAATAGGTTTGGGTAATGTTCTATCTTTTTTATCGAAAATAGTTGCAATATTAAAACTAGACATATTCGATAAATATAATAAATTTAGTAACTTATCGACCTATTTATAGATATATAGCGTTGAGTTAATATTTAACGATTATATGACCTATTTAATAATTTTGGGTTCGATATAGATACTTAAAAGTTGATTCAATTTTTATGCACCCAAAATATACACATATTAGAGTCGCAATAATATATAGGTTTCTTACCTGAAAGATTCAAAGGCATTTTCACTTATGCCAGTTGACATGGTTGATTAGGGGTGTGGAATAAGTTATAGATATGAGAAAAAATAGATTATTAGAATGTGCTTTTGTGAACCAACCAGTAAGTTCTTTCTATATATTTTTGCAGACTGAACAAACCACCCAAGTCAAAGTACTGGGCCACCAGCAATGATGATTATGCCCTTTCGAATACACAACACACATAGTCAGAGGCCCTATCGTTAACCTCAAGCTCGGTGAAGTGTTGCCTCAATAAATCTATTTCGGATTGCATGCTTGCTATATAATATTATTTATGCTCTGTATGTTAGTATTCAAAATTGAAAATTTCACGTGACATCCTGACCATTGGTCAGCAACTTTTGCCAAGAAAAAAAAAATTATTAATTAATATATGCGAAAATAAATACAAGTGTTCGGGACCTAGCCCGTGATACATGACGTCTATACTATTGTCTGCGGACTAATGTCTGCGTGAAAAAATTTTACGCTCTGGGCATCAAAAATTCTCGATCATATTTTTTTCTCGCGAGCTCGAAAAAAGATATATAGTGATCAACTCAGGGTTCACTTACTCTCTGGCTTCGAGCAAGAATTGCGAGAAGGCGGAATAAATTCACGAAATACACATGCAAAACTAAATGCGATTATGTATGCGAAATTAGCCACTGGGGCCAGCTTTATTGATATGATAAGAAAAGTAAAAAATAAAAGTAAAATATAAATGTATTCTAAAAATGTGCGCTTTTTTGTTTTGTTAACTTTCTAGTTTTACTATTCTTCCTGGGTCTTTTTTGTCCCGGTTCTTCTCTACGTTCTTCTCTACGTGGTGAAGAGACGGCGGGACTTGGGTGAACATTACGAGGCGGGTGTGAAATAGCCTGCTTTAATGCTTGAATAAGCAGACTTTTGTTCACTATTATAATATTTCTTAAAGTTAGCAGTAATCGCATTAGGGGCTTTATCCGCCATGATATGCCAGAAGTTAGTGGAATTTCTGCATGATCTACATGAAAATATCTCGGGATTCCGATAGCGTCATTTATCAGGACATTTAAAGATATCTTTTCACCGGCCACCTGAATTCCAACCACACCAAACTGGTTACTAGTAGGTCTACATGCGCTATTTATATAACTAATCCCGTCCAACAATTCTCTCCATAACTTTGTCTCATCATCATTCTTTTTAGTATCATTGCAGATAATACGTGAACTCTCTAAATATAGATATTCTACCAGCTTTCCTTCACACTTTTCTAATGCCATAATATCAGGTTTTTTGCCTATTCTTCTCTTACCTGCTCCATCATTTATACATAACTTACTTGCTAAGCTCTGACACTCAGTAGTACTTAAACAAATATGTCCATTTGGCAAATTGCTTAAGGTGGCTCGAAGCAAAGGCATAATAACATCTGATATATAGGTCCCTTCACTTTGTTTATTTTGGAACATGCTGGTTTCAAAAGCAGGATTATTCTATATCTCCCCTCTAAATTTATAGATATAAATATGGATTAATATTCAATTTAACAATTACATATGATTATAAAAAAAGACAATTATTTACAATGTGTTAAATATTCATTTTGCTACTTTTTTCAACTCAATCACATTCTTCTTTCATGTCTTATCATGGGTAAGATCATTCAGAATATCTGTTTCTGTCTTATTAAAATTATTCACAAACTCATTGCATTTAGAATAAATCAGCTCTGGGATTTTACATTTCATATCCTCTTGTGGCTCCTAAATCGATGAAATTATATTAAGTGCAAAACATAAAACTTTCGAATCATTGTCACTAATATAAATATAATTTATATATCGCTAAATTATTATTACCAAAAAAGTATGTCTTTGCTTTTGTTTTAAATTCTTTACTAACTGAGATTCATCACTAATAACCATACTTGATAGCGAATTCTGCCATTTGTGCTCAAAACTATCTATTTTTCTATACCTTTCTTGAGAGCATCATAAAGGGATGCATCCTTATTTGATATAGGGGCACCAAGTTTTGAATTTAATGCTTCAAGATTTTCTTCTATCTCTTCTCACGTATAATCAGGTTGATTCTTGTGGTGTGTTTAACGCTTTTAATGTTTTTAAGCCCATAATATTTTTATATCCAATTTTCATCTGCAGCAGATAAACATAAGTTAGATTTGTGATCACATTTTCTAAAAAAAACAATGCTAAAATATATACGTGTATAATCAAATATAATTATTCAATGAATAATGAGCTATATTAAAGCTACACACAGCCAAGGGGGAGCAGAAACTCTCAACATCATGAAGAGAAAAATTCTTCACCACATCACTCTTCTGGGCCGGCATTCCCCAGTCTTTAGCAATGACCACTTATATATATAGCTCACCCATCTGCTGTAAATTCATTATTCCATGCAAATTATAGATATTGAAAAGCCTAACATATATTACTATCCTGGGGGTAGAATCTCCGATACTTTCTCTCTTCGATTAGAATTATTTATTTCTTTTAATGCTTTTTTTACTACACGCTCTGCTAAGTATCTAACATCTTCATATTCATCCAAAATATTATCAACCATCGCCAGATAAACAACTGATGCAGAACAAATAGCATCTAATGATTCTTCTAATAAAAGTTTTACTATTCTAGAGAATTGGCTTGACATGTTACAAAAGTTATGAGAGTTTTATTGTAAGGTTAAAAAAGTTAAGTTTTAGGTTAAAAAAGTTGCAAGAGTTTTAAATTATAGCAGAATTATACAAAAATTAATTTCATATACTGTCCTTTTTATAGATTTTCCTTTATTTCTTCTCTGAAACTGAGGCATGCGCTCTTATATCAAAAAATTTCTACAATAGAAGTTGAGACATATATTTCCATGCAGAGAAATTTCTGAAAGAATTCTATAAATTATGTAAATATATGCAACATGAGTTATAGAGCCATGCAAGGTTAAAATTAATAAAAATTAAGACTTTAAGGAACTTGATACTCCATAGTACATGCATACATTGTGCGCATTTAGGCCAGATAAGGTTTCGGTCCGGAGTTAGGCTCCTACAAAATAAATTCAGAACATATCGATATGTGGCATGAGTTAATTGACCGACTTTGGTTAAGTACTAATTCCCGTCTCACAAATAAGTTATGCATAACGATAAGCCTTGTAAGGTAATACAGATCAATTTATATCCAGAATTATTCTAATGAATATCTTTGTTAAGTGACAAATTATGTACATATAATTCTGATTAAATGTTAACTATTCAAGGTTTTCTTTTAAAATTATTACATTCACATCGTCTATATATTCTATCTGCTACTTTTTTGCATGTTTTACAATACAGATGTGAATGATGATTGCATTCGTCACAGACCTTACATCCATGCTTCTAACCTCTAAAGACATGCCACTTTTCGAAACAATTTTGTTTATCTTTATGTATGAGTATGCTATTCTGACCTTTCATTGTTATATATTGACAGAAAAAATATAATGTGGCTAAAACTTTTATACAAACCTGTTGTCTTATAAACAAATTATAAGCCTTATATGGCAGATAATTGCAATAGATAAATATATTTAAAAATCAAATAATAGCGATATATAAAAACTTTATTAATTTTATAGCTAAGTATATGGAGTAAAAAAATATTAATATTATCATTATTGATCCTGACCTCAGTGGTCAGGACATGTGACCCCATGTGACTGGCACATTAGATTAATTTTTTGGTTTCAAAATGCTAAGTATAATATTATCAATATCCTTCTTACTTAATTTTAAAATGGTTAAAGCACTAAAAGATTTAACTTTTTGAATTTTATCTTCTCCAATATTAATAAAGAGTGTATAAAGCTTTCGCAATCTTTCTACTTTCTTTCACAATGTAGTATCTGTAATATTAGGGATTTGTTTTCTAATTTCATCATTAACTAATAACAAAGAAGCATATGGAGGGTTTGTTTTCTTATAATGCTTAAGTTGTTCTAATAGAGCTTTACCAAAGAGATAATAGTTGGTTATAATATCCTGATTTGTAATTTCATTTTGCATTTCTGAATTAGTTATATTATTATATAAATCATTAAAACTAATAGCATTTTCTTTTCTAATTACAGAAACTTGAGTTTCGAGTTCAGTAGATAATTCTTTTATAAGATCTTCTAATATATTTGATTCCTTTTTAACCAGTTTCTTTACTTTTTTATTAGATGATTTATCTGATAAGGTAGGTTCACTAACATGTTTTTTAGATAGGGTAGGGCTAGATGGATCTTCTTGAGACATATCTACATCCAGTATGTCTTCTTCTGGAATTTCTAGTATATCTTGAGATTGGATACTATGTTTTTTCATCTCCCTAACTACTGATGATGTACTTGACTCAGAACCCCTTCTAGCATTTGTTTCAATAATTTCGACCTTCTTACTACAACTAGAGAATGAACATGTATTTGGTATTGTAAGTAAAAGTTCTTTTTCGATACAAATTCTATGAAAGATATGCCTGCAAGATAGTGTTGTAAATGCTTTGAGAGGATGTGTAATAATTTCATCTTTGTATACTGAACAATGCTTTAATTTGGTAATTTTTATACCCTTAACAATGCTATTCTTGAAAGTTTTTAGAATATTATACACAAGATTTTTGATGTTATTAATAGGAGTAGTTGATGTGGAAGTAGAGGTAAACATATTCAAGAGTAAAATTTATGTAATTAGATTTGTATGTACTAATATAGAGTATAATCAGATAAGTATTTTACAATTTTCTAGAGTGCTTTGCACTTTGTGTAGCATATACTTAGCTTGTTTTTATACATTAAACATCTTTATGACTAAAAAAATTTAATTTACAGATTTTAGAGTGCTATGCCCTTCACAAAGCAAGAAAACTAATTTCAGATTTGGTGATCTATTTATTCAAAAATTATTTAGTATGGGCCAGGATTGCTTGATCTTCACTAGCAATCATGATGATTCAATTAATATTAGTTTTTAGCGAATATGACTAACTTGGATAGATTATTGTTTTTAAATTATCTATATGAATATATTTAATTGATCCTATTTTTTTTAATCTTTTTATAGTGTATTTATACTGATCAGGTACGTTTATTATAGAATCTTTTAATAAGATTGAAACTTCTTATTTATATTGTTATATCCTATAGAAAATAGATATAATCTAAAATATATATCTATATATAAATCAAGATCTTCTTTTGTATTATCGATATAATATAGAGTTTTGGGTTCTTTTATAATAATCGTACTTGATATTTTGAATTAGATATTTATTATTATTAAGAAAAAAATATATTATATAAAATGTTATCTTTGTATCAGTCAAACTTGGCACTGTACTACTAGTTAACACCGATGATTCCTATTACATTCTAAACAAGCAAGATGTATATTACTTCTAATATGTTTTAATTTATTATTAATTTGATCTACCGTCTATTAGTCTGGATTTTTAGCTTCGTCCCAGTTCTATAACAATTCATTAAGACATAGTTTACATTTATTTTCCTGTGAGTCTTTTAATACAAGGATATAATCAACAAATAGATCAAATTTTTGACCTTTTTTCTTATCTTGATCCATATATTCTATGAGTTTTCCAGAAATAAATAGTCTTAAGGATCACTCAATTGCTTTTTTATTTTTTGTTTCCTCAATCTCAGGAGGTAATGGGAAACCTTCAATCCACACAAGTTGATTTAAATATTCTACATGATCTACTGCAAGATATATTAGATTATTTCATGCCAAATGTTCATCAATAACCCAAACTCATTGTAGAGCTTCAAGCGTCATCCCTTGACTAGTATGTATAGTCATAGCATATCCCAAATTCCAATCAAATATTTTTTCTTTGCTTAATATATCTTTAATAAATTTTTTAGGAAGTATATTCAATAATAAATATACTATATCATTTTTTACTAGTTTCTGTTTCTTAAATGAACCAGGAATTGGAACGAGGCAGTTTTGTTTACATCCATCTCTTGGCCTATATATTAATGGAACTGGTAGATCTGGATATTTAATATGATGGAGTTCAAGGTTATAGGCAGAAATTTGTCTGATTGGCTAATGCAAATCAATTAATCGGGTAACTTATTTATATGTTTTATAGTACTTTTTGAGAATGTAACATTATACAAGTAACTATCCTTAACAAACATTGTTTCTAGCTTTGAAGAGGTGCTAGAAAGCTAACCTCTAATAATCTCTAATTTAAGAGGAGCTAACTTAATAACGACTTTTTGAACTAGGTAAAGAAAAAAAAGCTTTTTCTAAATTTTAAACTGCTAAATAGAAACAGTTTTTAACGGAAATACTTATTTTTCTTTTTTTAAGATTAAAAGATCTTAGTTGGGTTTTTAGATAAAACAAAGTTTTTAATAAAGAAGTCTAATATAATGTATAAGATAGGCTTTAAGTTAGATTAATTCTTAAAACATATTAAGTTTTGTTAAAGATCTTGGTTTATATATAGTGAAATATAGAGTATTTAAGCTTGTTAAAGTAATAATCACTTTATTATATTTTCTTTTATACATTTATAGCATACTATATTTTTTGAATATATACTATATATTTTTGATTATGTATTTTCTTCCTACATATAAGGCTTTTGTTTTCTTGCAGTTTTTCATTAATAGTTAATGCCGATATTGTAATAAAACTATGAATTTGATTGGCTAATAATCACAGATAGATCTACAAAAATTAACCAATTAGACGAATTTCTGCCTATGAAGTTCAAGGTATTTTTGTAATGCAATTCTTCGAGATAAGCAATATGCTAATAATATACAATCTGAGAGAGTCTATTCTTTTTCAAAACGTTTTCATTTTTCTATAGTTGAAAGAATTCCTCAAAATAATTTTGATTGTATTCAATTATTTTTGCGATGCATGCCTTTTTTGAGTTCACATAATTTGGGGCATTTTGTGTGATAATTAGTTAAAACTTCTTTGTAATAATCGGCATGCTCTTTTAACCAATTATGTAGTATTTCTCTGAAGAATGGTGGAGGTTGTGCATTGTCACCACAACAAATTATCTGATATTTATATTCAAACAAATAATTAATAAACATTTCAAGAATATGCTTAGAAACTGTATATATCCTATCTCAAATAACAACTTGTGGAAATTTCTTCTCTCCCATGTGTTCAGATATCCATTCTCCTACACCATTCTATCTAAAGAAACTATACCAGGTTTGGGCTTTCACATCATGCTTATCTCAAAAATCTTTAGCTAATATATTTGTATTGGTAAAGACAATCATACTTACGCTTTTATAAACTCGAATTCCATGTGTTGTTTTACCAGATCCACTTCCTCCATTGAGATATGAATTTTGATATCTTGTAATAAGATTATGAATCAAGAGCACTGTACTATCAAGAATATTTTTGATCGATTCCTAATGCCTATTCTTTAGCTAGTATACAATATCGGTAACTGGTCTATATATTTTTCACCCTTATCATGCCATTAACCAGGTTGAATTTCTTGAACTTCTTGCTCTTCTGGCTGATTTAACTGCTTCTGACAAGAATCTGATTTATAAAACTATTTCCCAAAGCAGAATCTGCAAACAAATTGGTTATGCCTTTTATATTCATATTTTACTAG